GTTCCATTAAAAGGTAACCTTTGAATATTTAAGAAGTGAATTTTGTTTGGCAAAAAAAAAGGTCCGTCTCTTCATGGTTCTAAAACCCTCTGAATGATTTTGTATCTTCGGCCTCCTTTTACCATTCAGCGCCCTAATTCCTTTGTAAACAATTACCGAACAATTATATTTCATTTTCTACTATATCATGAGGGCATCTTAATCATTCTGACCACTTAATCATTTTGCACCAAACCATTAAGTTAATTAAGTTGCTTTCAAAGTTCAAATAAAATTCAAAAAGAATTTCCGAAAACTTGATCATTAATGAACTTTTTCTTTAATATTGTTCATTATATTATAATCTGATTTATAAAATAATATAAATATGATATTTTTAAAAAGTATCATATAAAAAAAAAGCTAATAAAAGAATTTACTTGTTAATATCTGTTATAATTTAATTTAATGTAACTTTAGAGTTATTTCACATAATGAACTATAGGAGCCTTCTTTTTAACAAAATTATCAGTAAATTCCAATTTGAACTACAAACAGTTAGTTCAAAAAGAAAATATGATATAGATTAAAAACGTCTCTATCTCTCTGTCCTATTTACATAACATACATGTACACATAATTGAATATGCACACAATATGGATATATTGTGCATTTTCTTATTATGATTATTATAATTTATGAAAACACTTTAAATCTACGAGATATGATATAACTTGTAAATATATTAAAAATATACGAGAAAAAAATATGAGAGAGAGAGGGGGGGGGGGGATGTATGAAATTTCCTTTTAAAAATGGAATATTTTTTATTTAATAAATAACAATGATTTATTATTTTTAATTATCTTGTTAATTAATAACATTAATTATTTTAAATTAATGACTTAATTTAAATCTCATAAATTTTAGAGTTCTCAAATAATTAATTATTTTATTAAACAATTATCTATTTAGATCCCAAAAATAAAATATGCTATAAATATCACATAATATTTAAAAGTGTGGGCATAAAATACAATAACTTAAAATCATTGGACTTGAACATGGAGCACATTACCATCTGCACTGCATGATGTATACTCATCGTTTAACACATTATCTCAACAAATATCCATACATCCTATTTCCATTAATTCAATATATATATATATAGAGAGAGAGAGAGATTGATTATTATACAACCCTTGATATTTGTGCAACCAATACAACTCAATCTCAACCGTCCATTTCATTTGATTAATATATGATTTCATAGAAATTTTGATTGTTTCATAATATGAAGTATTGATCATAATTAATAAATCATATTCATCTTTCATAAATATTCAAATCATAATAAATGAACTCTCATCATTTCCATAAATATCTAAATTTATTGGGTTGCATATTGGTTGTACAAATGCGACGAGATGTATTTAAAACAAACTATATATATATATATATATATATATATATATATCGAACGAGAGACTTGAGATAATGTGAGACAAAATTATTTTCATAAGACACGTGAGACAATATTTTTATATTTGATATTTCATAGTGTTTTTGCTGTGAAAGTTCGGCTTTTTTTTACCTTCACAACATTTTGTTGTGAAGCTTCAAGTGTAAAAATGTTGACTCACGTGTCTCACGAAAACAGGCTGGTCTCACGTGAACCCAACCTTATACATATTCAGTTATTGGAAATAGGATGTACAAATATATGTTATATATATATATATATATATATATATATATAGGGTTGGGTTTACGTGAGACCAGACTGTTTTCGTGAGACCCGTGAGATCACATTTTTACACTTGAAACTTCACAGCAAAAACACTGTGAAGGTTTAAAAAAGTCGAACCTTCACAGCAAAAACACTGTGAAGGTTACCTTCACAACATTTTGCTGTGAAGTTCCAAGTGTAAAAAGTTGGTCTCACGGGTCTCAGGTTGGTCTCACGTGATCCCAAGTCTATATATGTATATAAGATTTGTTTTTGATTGAGAAAGGAAGTTATGGTGATAAGGGTAACAATGAATCTTAATCCTTGAATCAATCATAATTGAAGAAGATCAACACTAATGAAATGTGCCGAATCAATTCCCTTTTATAACACAATTCAAGGGTGGATATCCTTCTTACAATTCTCACATTAACTCTTTTTCTCACACAATTCTTCATCTATATATATATATATATATATATATATATATATAATTCACGTCAAATAAGATTTCATATACCTTATGTATTTTTTACTATCTCCTTACTGTTTCATACCCATAAAAAGTATTACGTTTAGCAAGCACCTGTTAATCGATCTATAATCTTAAGCAAGATGTTAACTAGGAATTTCTTTGCTTTTTGATATGCACCGTACTCTAATAATACTCTTGTTTGATTAACGCTTACTTAATTGTTGGCAAACATCTGGATACGTTTAAATATAACTGATAACTTATCAGGAACTTTATTTTCAAATCACTTTGAAGGCATGCCCAAAAATAGGATACCTTGCATAATAAACATCAATCATGTTAAGCATAATATACAAGCAAAGTAAACTTTGGGAGTTTTAAAAGCAATATCAAACAAACATAAATGAATGCTAAAATCATTTATGTTACTTTTTTTTAATCTTTAGTAAATATAACTAAACTAGTGGTGTGTCCGTGCGATGCAGCACGGGTGAATCATAATTTTGAAACATTAGTTTAGCCTTTAATTATGAGTTTGTGTGGTTATTTTACAAGTCAACTAATATATAAAGTTGAAGGTTAACATGATGTATTAGCAAAATTGATTGGAAAAATAATTGCACACATGTTGAGTTTCTAAACCCATATAAAATTGAAGGGTTGGGGTGGGGTACATGCAGGATCTGAAACCCTTTCTGATATTGTTGCTTCAAATTTCAGTTTACTTCAAGAAAAAGAAGAAATTTGAATTTGGGTTCAAAATAGCAAACAAACAAAATGTCAATTCTTTTTCACGTAAATATTACTTACTTAAATATGAAATTTTGACCAAACAAATGGTATGTTTTAAGCATTTGTACATAATGCATAATAGTTTGTACTTAAGAGAATTTTGAATCTCTTGCATAAATTGATAGTACTTTATCCTTTAAGACTTGTAATTAAGACTTTTGGTCTAAATGCTTATTAATGTAGTAAAGATTTGAAGAATAAGGGTCCGGTTGGTTTGTGGGAACGAAATGGATTTGAATTTCAAATCCATTCCAATCTATGTTTGGTTTGTAAGATTGTTCGGATTTAAAATCCTATAATTTATTTGAAATCACTCAAACGTAGGGTTTTGAAATCCCATGGGGTGGTTGGGATTTCATGGGATTTCTTAGGATTTCTATATAATAGTGCTTTAAAATATGTTTAAAACACTTGTTTTCTAATATGCATTCAAGGATGAAGATCTCTTCTTACACTTCTCACATTAACTTTTCTTCTCATCATAACCTGAATTTACATATGATAATATCCATCTCTTACTAAATACAAGTCATTTATGGATATTATTAAGCGAACCTTGGTGATCCAGTCTAGGCCCTTGTTATTAGCTGAATAAATATATTTTTAGAAGCAAACAATATCTTCTAAAAAATACATTTATTCAGCTAATATTCTTCTAATCTAAAAATACATTTATTCAGTTAATATCTGTTCGATCCACCCAACCCTTCCTTCGAGGTTAAATATCATTTACAAATGTTAGTTGGATAGAGACGACATGTTTTTTTATTATATTTTTAGATTAATTTTACGAAAAATATATTCAACGTTTTTTTTGATTTAATATCAAAAATTAAATTGAAAATAAATTTTTATTGAGTCAAAAACTTTATGCAAAAAAGTCAAATTTGAAATCTTATGCTGGGAAGGAAGAAATAGACAGATGCCAGTGGCCTCCGAAATGACTAAATTACCCTTTTCTTTTAAGTATTTGAAATCGGTGGACTTTTGTAGCCCGATCAAAGAGTTTGAGGTCGATCGTGGACCCTTCAACAGTCTCCTTTTTTATTTTTTATGGTAAAATATCTAAAACTTTAATATATATATATATATATATATATATATATATATATATATAATTATGTACTCCGTCAAATAAAAAAAGAATATTATTGTCGTGGATGCGACTCTTGGGAATGAATGTAGGACAAAAAGTGTTCACCATTTTAAATTTTGGTACAATCTCTTATTTAAATAAATACTGATTAGTAATAACTCCAACTGATATTATATGGAACCGTTTTTCAAGTACACCAATGTGAGGGAATATTTTTTGGGTTAATCAGTTATTGAGGCTAGCGAAGGGGGTTGGGATAGAACCCATGACATATCTTGTATTTGGACAAAGTCATCTCATCTTTTTACGAACTGGTTTACACGCCAAATACGGTATGATCTTTTATTTCTTATATTTGTTCATATATATATATATATATATATATTTTGCTATATGTTGATCAGACAAAAGATTGTGTAAGAACATGAGTTAAGGCGAGAAGTGTAATAAGAGATTTGGACCATTGATCACTTTAATCTCAAACCAACTCATGAATTGCGTTTAGAAGGGAATTGATCCGCTATTTCCCGTTAGTGTTGATCTAGTGGAACTCTTCAATCAAGATTAATCCAATGATGAATATATATCTTTTTTTTACCCTTATCAAAATAACTCTTATTCTCACTGTAACCCAACCCCTGATGATTATTCAGATATTTATAAATCTTTTTACAAATCGCAATCAAATACACAAAAATTATAACAACATGTGCACTTGCTACATTAAGTAAAAATAAGAACAACATATGCAATTGCTATATAAGGTAAGTTCGATGAACGATTCAAATAAATTTTGGCCCACAATCAAATGTTTCATAAAATCAAAAATAATATTAAAATATTATTAATTTTGTTTTGTTAGAGGAAATAAATATATAAATAAAAAAGAAACAATACAGATAAAAATAATGTTAAATACGTTTATAATTAAAATTACGGGTATATATAAATCAGATCAACTTTTCGTTTTATTTGCAGCTAAAACTAGCCAAGCATAGACTACGGCCTTTCGAATCAAAGAAAGAAGTGACGAGCGGACAAAAACTAATATACACGCATTTATAGGTATAAATCGCATATCTCAGTGTGCATGCTGTTTAACGGTATAATTCGTGTGATGAATCAAAACGATAGATCATTTGAACGTATCAGCAGAATTGTTCAATGATCTTTTAAGCTTGTGGGCCTCGGTTGGCAGTTTGACATTGGTGGCCAATCCTACAGATTCAAGAAACCGTATGATGTACCAAGAAATGTCGACTTGCCACCACTCCAATCCGTGTCGAGCAGAATACTCAAAAGCGTGGTGATTGTTATGCCATCCTTCTCCGAAAGTTAGCACTGCCACCCACCTTCAGTAGGATTTGAACAAACGCATACATACGTTAAATCTTGACATATAATACGATTAAACGTATTGAAAGATTTACGAAACGTACCAGTTGTTCTTGGAGAGATCACCCGTGTTCCAAGACTGGCTTCCCCAAATGTGACAAGCAGAGTTCACTAGAAACGTGAGGTGGTAAACCCAAACAATCCTGACACCCTGCAAACATCCGTCACTTGATTCATTATTAAACGAAAGACTTATACCTGCAGATTCTTCCTTAGGAAATTCATCATAAATTAGAACCGTCACAAAAGTTTGTGGGTAAATTGTTCGTGGAAATCTCAAATTACCCATGTGTTTTTAGGGTGATCCGTTGATATTTTCTTGAAAAAAGACAGATTCTACCGGAACCAATGATATTTTCTGAGTGATCCATGGATAAAACTGTATTTTATACTTCGACCAATCATATGAATTAATTAAATCATCATTACATTTAAAATTATTTATTTTCTATCTAACCAATTGTAGTATATGCTTGTCCATTTATCAAAATTAACAATCTATAATTAGGAAAATTAATTAAAATTAATTAAAATTAAAAAATAATGTAATTAAAATATTAATAAAAATAATATTTAATAACAAATATTTTTGTCACGCTTTAATTATTAAATATGTGCATGTGGTCACGTTAAAACAAAATGCACCCTTTTATATCGATTTATATATTAAAAGACGAACTTATTCAAACGATATATACTACGGAATAGTAACGATTGGATCTATTATTTTTAATCGTTAAAAGATATAAAAAGAATGTTATCATACCACTCCCCAAACGAGGTACGGAAATCCACCAACGGCATACAAGAGAGCTGCGAGCCCGAGGATGTGCCACATGTACGTTTTTCTTATGAACATGTAGAACGGTTGTTTCTTTAAATCTTCGACATTTTTACGTTCTTGATACTGCAATCAATCAGACCGATTTACGCGATCAAATTCATTAAATTTAGCAAAAGGGATTCAAGAATTGGCAAAATTTTATATATTTAATTATAAATTAAAAAAGTAATGGGAAAGTAGGAATCTTGATACCTTTTCAAGAATATACCCGCTGTCGAAGAGCCAACCCATATGACTGAACCAGAAGCCGGAGATCGGAGAGTGGGTATCTTTGTTTGAGTCGACGTATTGATGATGATATCTATGCATGCTCACCCAAAATATCGGATCCCTCTGTACGCAAGGAATAATTTAATCGAATAAAATTACAGGCTGTCGTTGTTTCAGATCAAATCATAGCATTAGAAATGCAAAAAGATACAATTTAATAATCATAATAATTAACATCTAGAACGAGTTTTTATATAATATATATATATATATACATAAACAGAGTTTCAAATACAAACCATGCAATTCTTACAAATCCTACAAACTGATCCCAACCGTATGTTTTGATAATCAACGGTGTAGATTAAATCGGTTCGTAAATTTACTTTTTAACCGCATTTGATAACCGCCTCTAGATTTCAAAATAAACATGAGATTCGGTTTGTAGGGTTTGTAAACAATTGTATCGTTTGTGTGTGTGTGTGTATATATATATATGTATATATAATGTTGGAAGGTGGATCAGGAGGTGGAAGAAACGATGAACCTGGGCGGCTTGAACGCCAAAATAAACACACGTGTACTCGAGCCATTTGGGGAGTTTGAGGCTATGGTGGGCAAGAAGGCGGTGGTAAGCTAGGGTTACGCCAAGAAGTCCGGTGAGAAGATAGCCGGAAAATGCGAGGAAGAAGGCATCCCAAGAGAAAGTAAAGGGAGCAAAAAGTGAGAGCAGATGAACAGTAGAAACCCAGATTGCGACTTGGATGTCGATGGTCCGCCATTGTCGTCCCCAGAAAAGGCTTCTAGTGTTGGAAACGACGACATCGGAAAAAGGGATTTTCCGGTGATCAGATGGGATGATTCCGGCATCGGAGTCGGAGGAGAGTGAGACCAACAAGTTCCGCATACTTTTCTTGATTTCTATTCCGGCAAGTGGTGGTTTGTGCGTTTCTTTGCGCATCTGAAACTATAAATAGCGATATTTTAGGGTTGAAGTGGGGTTAAATTAATTTAATATAATTAATTAAATCAACCCGAGGTTTAGTAGTAGTTTACTTAAAAAAGGAGTTTAAGTTGGGTGAAAGTACCAAAATAGCCTCGGGGTGGAATATTGTGTGGTGGTGGGAAATTGGTATTCATTTAACAAATGCAGTGTCAGAAGCATTTTACGCTGTCACCCCTCCACGACCTCGTGCTTTTTGAAACAACATGTCAATTCTCAAGTGTCTAAGTGTATATATATCTAATCCCATATTATAAAGCATTTGATAAAAATTCTTAAAAATCATCTTTTAAGTATGAAGTACTGTTTATTGATGCATATTACTTAAAAATTCAAGATTACAATTATATATTGTGCGTAAATACAACTTATTAAAGCTTTATATCTGAATTCATGTAACTAACTGCGGATAAACATCTCATTTAAAATATAAAAAATCTAAAATATAATTAGAATAATCATTGAGTTCTAACAGAATACTTAATTATTATCTTTTATTAAACCAAAACTAAATTATTTCATTATTAAACTTAAATTAAATTATAATAAAAAAATAAATTACATAAAAAATAGAACTTTTAAATAGTTGATTTGATGTTAACATTGATATATTTTTTTCAAGTTCTTATGATATCTTCAAATTTATATTTTATTCAAAAATAAAATCATTATTTTTTCTTAAAAACACATAAAATCGTGTTATAACATCGACATAGACAAATTATAAAATAGAACATTAAAATTGAGATGTGTCTCGCTGCATTGTGCGAGTACTCTTCTAGTATATAATATAATATATATATATATATATATATATCTAAATAATACATATATATACACGGAAGTGCTAAAACGAGAACATCTTTTACTACAGTCTATCACATTTAATACTATATTTCATCATATGTGATACTAAATTAGAGATACGAACGACCTTTGAAGCAATACAAAATCACATGTGACTTGCGTATTTCTTTTTTTTTTAATATATTTTAATTTGATCCTTCTTTTATATCTATTATAAAAAATAAGATAAAATGCGTGAAATAACAACTTACTTTTACAAATTTCTTTATTATAGCATTGTACTTTCAAATATTTTTTTATTAGGGCATTGTACTTTCAATAATTTACCCGTTATAACATTAAATAATCTTTTAAATTATATTTAACCATTATACCAGAGTTTTTTGTCACCTTATCGTCAATTAGGTTGTCCACAAGTACGATAGTGTTGATATGTCATTTTTTATTATAGCATTGTACCTTCAAAGTTACTTTATTATAACATCACAAATTTCTATTACAACATTGTACTTTTAATTTTTAATATTTTTATCATTTGAATATTATAAATTTAATCAAATATGTTTACTAAAAATAATAATATCAGAAATTAAACATGTTTACAAAAGATCACTATTTCACGAATAAAAATATTCATAAAAAAGTGATGTCTAAATTGTACACGAAGGTTCAAATACGATAACTTCAGACTACCTTAACATTAATTAATGGTTGGATTAATCCAAATGTTTAAAAGCCATGAAATTAATCCATATAGTTAATTAATGGTTGGATTTTTGAAGGTGAAAATGTTTATGAGTGAATTAAATTCTTAGATTTTTTTATTGCGTTGTTTTTCCGTTGTGGTCCATAAAAATCATAAAGTATGTCACTCATTTATTTTTTGTCTTTCGAAGTACACATTGGTCTTTCATTTAATATCGTTAAAGAAATCTACATTAACTATGTCATGTACCTCTCATATGAAGGGCAAATTCGTAATTATACCTCTTTAAGAAAAACCAGCACCAACCACCTCTGTTTATAATCACATCAGATTAATTTCAATTGGATGGAAACATCATCAGATCAAAACAAATAGCAAGTACAGAAATTGGCAAGGACAGAACAATGAACTGGAAGCAAAAATCATAATTTTTTTTAAAAACAATATTGTTTATGTGAATTTGAATCAAGGACTCCCAAATTAAAACCCTGGATCTCTCTATGAATCTCAATCTTGGTTTTCGCAAAATATAAAACCCCTAAATTTGGGGTTAAACATCGTTTGAAATAAAAAGCATGCTGCTACATTGATTTGGGGTTCAATGTCGTTCGTCTTTATCTACTGTTGCTACTGCTTTCACGACCAAAACCCACCTAAAAAAGGTGGTGGTTGCAGTGACGATCGAATCAGGATCATACCTCCACCATGGGTTTTTGAATCGGAATCTAAACACACCTAACAAATGGTGGTCGTTGTTGCTTTCATGATCGAAGGAAGAAGGCAATGGTGTCTTGATGTACAAAGAAGAGGATGGGGTGCGGGTGGACGAAGAAGGGAAGGCTGGTGGTGGTGGTGTCGATAGACGGAGAAGAAGAAGAAGGGGTTGCGTTTGGCTCTTGTTCGTCTGAGAGGGAATAAAAGAAGGACATGAAGTTGTTACAGGAACAACACCCGATAGGGTGGTTGCTAGAGAAATGACGCAAGGGGGTCGCCAAATAAACGATGCCGGTTCGGGGGTGTTCTAGTTATAACTGGTTTATCAAGTAACCGATAGAGTGGCTAGTGATTTTCACACATAGCACTTCAAATTATCAAGTGATTCAATTAAATGAATACACAATCACGCAGGTCTCTCTCTTAAAAAACGCAAGTTTTATCTCTCGATCTCAATACACGGTCTCAGAAATTCATTATGGTTAAGATTGTACGAAAATAATAAAGTTTTATTATTATATCTCCATCCAAGTTCTCACATTAGGTGCACGAATCACAAGCTAATCATGAAATACTGTTCTCATAGTTAATTTATAACAACTAAATCAACTGACAGAAAAATCATTAAACATAAATTCAACAGCTTCATTAATTGAAAACCTAATAAGAAAACCGAACTTCATGTGCTCATATACTTGCAAACCAAAAACCACTCAACCCCCAACTGATTTGAATATGACTTTCAATCTTTAATCCGTATGCATTTCCCTCCTTTAACTGAATTTCCATGCGGGTTTAGCCACATGAAAAGTCGCCCGCATCAATAAATAGCCACATAGCTTCAGAAACTTGCGACCTAACCCACATTAGCCATTGTTTTGGTTCCTTTGACGTAGTTTTAGCTCTGAACTCCATTTGACAATTGCTATAAACCTCTTCCCTGAATCCCACTTTGATATTTGCTCAGTTTCTTAAAAAAAAATTCATCTCAAATTCACGAAATTCTCTCAATTATCCGAATGGTACGAAACATGTACTTACTTCCAATAAACAGTTGGAAACAGAAAATACTAAATTGTCTTAGAAACCGAAAAAAAACTGCCCTAGATTGAGTGCAATAATAATGTTGAAAACGATATTCACTCATGACAGAGTTAACGAAGCCCCTTCTAACAGTATTAAGTGGAGTGACTTGTTTGGACTTCCAAACACGAAAAATGAACCATTATTCTTTATGAATTTCATAGACCAGAACCAGAAAGCAACCCACAAGCTAAGGGATCAGGATTGTAATTCACTATTTGAGTAACGTACGTTTTGGTTTTTATGATTTGTTAAAAATTACTATTTTCTTCCCGTGCTTTTTGAAATTACAGTTTTCGTCCTTTGGTTTACAATTAATTTGCTTTTCTCATCCATTTAGTTTACATTTCATTGTTGTTTTCATCTCTCATAGTTAGTGATGAACCACTATTGGAGTTGGCCTTAAGAGATAAATAACAAACCACAAGAACGAAAAACCGTAATTTTAAAAACACAAGGACGAAATCGTAGTTTTTAACAAACCACAAGGATGAAAATCGTAATTTACGATAATTAAACTGATGATTAAATAAAAATGTGTTAATTAAATAAATAGATTAACTAGAGTTAAATTTGAGTTTAGACGAAATGGGTGATTTCCATGTGCTTATTTAAAAATAGATTCACTATTTTTAAAAATAATTTATTTTTAATTATAAAAAATTAATTTCTTATTGTTTTTAATTAGTACTCAATCGACATGTATTTCCATCAAGATTTTTAATTGATTTTGTTTTATTCTCGTAATATATATTCAGATGTGAATATACATTAAAAAACCTCATTCTTCTTATGTGAAGTATATTCATACATGTAGTATGAATAAGATAGTAGGTCTATTCGAACACACTTATAGTTCACGTTTAATATATATATATATATATATATAGTATGAATAAGATAGTAGGT